CATAAGTCATAACCGGAAAAAATAGTATCATTAAAATTTCGTTTTTATAATTATATGTGATAAATACATATTGTTAAATTGTGTTTTACAACGAACTGAGATGGTTTTGTTGTGAATTAGATGAGTTCTGGTAGAACTGAAGAACGGTACTCGAACCCGACGGACTTTACATCATCTATTAGTCTCAAACCATGATTACCTCATGGGCTTAAATTTATTACTTGGCATTATAAAAATAGCCTGGCGAACTACCCTGAAACTCGACGCGGTTTGGAATCTACCCTTGACAACTCTAAATATATCACTCAAAAATAGTGTTTTCCTTAAGGCCGTGTCACACTGGCGTTTTTTTCGTGCAACTTGTGTCGCGCAAAAAATTGTTGAAGTTGCACGAGCGTTTTTTTACGTGTGACACCCCATCATGCAACTTGAACATTTCATTTTTTTGTTGAGAGAAATGTAGAACTGGCTTCTACTTTTTTCAACATTTTTCGGAAAAACGCGTGTGTGACATGGTCTCTTGCAACTTCCAAAATTTTCAATAGGCGCACAAACCCATAAGAAAGCGAGAATCTGTCCTGCTGTCACATGTTGTAAACATGTTGTAATAATCAACAAAGATGCCCGACGCCATCTTTGGCGAAAGCGATAATTTTGAAGAAGAAAACCAGACAGAAAGTGAGGTGATCGTACATTTTCAATTTACGCGTGCAACTTGAACATTTTTTTATGCGAGCTAAGTTGCAACGGAATTTTGCTAGTGTGACATGGCATCGTGCAACTTCAACATTTTTTTGCGCGACACAAGTTGCACGAAAAAAACGCCAGTGTGACACGGCCTTTACTTGGAGCACTAAAAGCACATGTATGTTTTTTCTTAGTAAATCAATAAAGTGGGTAAAAATGTTACCTAGCAACAAAAACCGCACGATTTTCGAACTTGCTATAACGTGAAACGCATTTTTCCGCGATWTCAGTTCAGAGGCGGTTCAGAAAAAAGAGACTGTTGAAATAACAGATTCTTTACTTGAGGTAAGATTTAGTTTGTTCATGTAAATACAGACTTACAAGACCTATAAGACTTAACATAGCTTACTTAGTCCGAATTTAACGTCAGTAAGTTGTTTCATCAACTTTTTTTAAATCTCTCATTTTACACAAATGTTTCTTTAGAAACATTGACGCAGCTCACACTAGTTTACCGCTAGTTTCCACCATTTTRATATAGTCAGTCCGCTATTGTAAGAAGTAAATGTTTCCCAAATGACGATCTCGCGCGCTTGAAATTGACGATCATCATATATGAGAAACACTATGGCCCGTTTAAAACATCCAGTGAGGTGATCGACGAGGATTATTGTAGAACAGCCTTTTTCTTGTAGAGTTCTGTGACCGTAAAAGATTGGTCAGACGTATTACTTGATTATACTGTAAATATTTTTTTATTATCTTTTTTATTTCTATTTATTTCTATTTTTTGTCCAACAACCAACTAAATAATTATTTTCAAAAAGAAGTCAAAGAAAAACGTCTCGTTATTATATAGTTAATCTTTCCAATTGATTGACGATTAGTTTAGAATTTGAACACAATCGTACTCACAACAAAGCCCAGTGGAGTACTCCTATATATTTGCTATACGGGGACGTGCCGCTGGACAGTGTATGGTTTTTGTTCGGTGTCCATTTCGAGGTGTTAAACATCGAACAATGATCTTTTGTTTTAAGTGATCAAAGTGGTTTTGAATAATAAAACAGGTGCGTAGTTTCGGAAAAACGAGTCTAAGACGACAGGACCGTCGTTCGGAAGTCGTTCGGAAGTTTTTTTTAGTTCCCTGCGGTGAACTATATAGGAGTAGCAAAAAAANAACTTTAGTAAAATCAACAAACCATTAACGCAGTAAGATGATTTTACTTGGTAATTTCGCGACAATTAAGACCTAATCTAGGACACAAAATAAGCTTTTGAAGTACTGAACACAGAACTTTCCTTGCTTTTATTTTATTGTCTTCTTCTACGTGCGATCGCTCGTTCTGAAGTTTGGTGACTAAAGCCTGGGGTTACTTTCTCTACTCACGCAAGTATCTGTATATCACGAGTAATGGTAAGGAAAGCTCGCCCAGGATCAACTACAATTATCGATTAGGAAGATGGTACAACCTGAAGACTGTTGTCAAAGGTACCCAAGTCAAGATTTACATCAACAACAAACTAGTCAAACAGGTTACCATGACTGGCTCAGGCGCAGCTTCAAAAACCAACAACTATGTGGGCCTTTGGTGTCATCTAATGACTGCTTGCAAAGGAGATAATTTCAAAGTTAAAAATTGTGAGTTTGGTTTTGCATTATTTCTTCCTTACTTTTATATCAGGATAAACTGAATGAGATCATTAAAGTCAGTAATTACACCCTTGAAAGCTTAGTAGATATTATGATAGACGGTACGACATCCAATAAAATGACAATTCCTTTGGAACCAAGACTGCTAAGGCGCTGAAATGTTTTGTCTTTTTGCTCATTATTCTTAACGCTTTGATTCATTTGCGGATATCCTGCATCGCACGATTGCATTGATAGCTTTAAATTGGACTTTGACGCAATGGATGAATTTTGCGCTMAGYGGAAGTATGTAGTCTTGTAGGTTGTCATGACAGCTCGTYCATCATTAACATAGAGATCATATCATTGTATTTTTCAGTGCGGSCARTACGAAAYAGGAATCCCAATAACCAGCTCAAGTGCTYYARCAATCAYATGCAGATAAAAATACCCAAAAMATCGCTGCMTTTTGCACTCGCTAAGGACTTACGACTGAACAAACCGTCTTGTCGCGCTACTGARGATAACAAGAACTTCTACCTCAAGACAGGCTTTGAYCAGTGTGGAACCAAGATCAGCAAAACCACCAAAACGATCACCTATAGCAACCATGTACTTGGACGACCGCTGAACAATAGTGCAGTCATCAGCCGCATTCATGACATCAACATAACGATATCGTGTTCGTATCCACGTCAACGWGAAATGACGTCATCGCATATACAGCCCAATAAAACCAAATACGTCAGCGCATTCCATTCCAAGGGCAAGTTCAACTTCACTTTGAATYTGTTTCCCAGCAGCCAGTTCAAGAAACCATACAAGAAGTTTCCTGTTGAGTTGCATTTGCGTCAAGTGATTTATGTCGAGGTGGCTGTGAAGTCTGCSAGGAAAGAGCTGTCAGTATTGGCTCAGCAATGCTATGCTACCCCCTCTAAGAAGAATGGTCGCGGTGCACTCAAACATTGGTTGATCAAAAATGGGTGAGTACCGTATCTGACTTTATTATTCTTATTATATTGCTTATTGGCAGAAATAACATTTTACGGTAGGGAACATAAATAAACAGAAATTGTCTGTCATTAAACTAACGTGGGTACCCATAGAAATTGATGCGCTTAATCAAGCTTCAACCAGACCAACATTTACCGCAAGAACCAATCATACTTCGTAAACTGATCAGATAGAACAGTTATTGTTATAACATATCTTGTGTCTACGACCCTATAGGATTTCTCTCTAGCATTTGCGACAAATGGTAAACTTCCAAAAACTGCATCTTGATTAACTTAAGTCAAGTGTAGACAATAGGGACCGGAAGGCAGTTTTTGAAATTTTCTTCCTCAAGCTTTCCTTCAAAGAACACTTTTGCCTTAAAGGGACACTGTCAATGGATGACATGCGCAGTAACAGTCTCACCTCTAACGGACTTTGAAAGTATTACCTTCGAGGTAAATCATTTTGTGGTGCTTTTGACACACTTTGGAGTATTCTAGATCTGTTTACGTTTACGAGCTGATTTATGTCGCGCCAACTTGGAGTCATAAACTTGAAAACACTAGCCTAGTGTTTTCAAGTTTACTCGCGCATGCGTGCCATTGACAGTGTCCCTTTAAAATCCCCGCATT